TGGTAACTGGCGTACCACATAGGTGATAACTTATTTAGCCCAAGTCTGATAACTTTTCACCCCAAAAAAAAGTCATCGAAACATACCAATATGGGATCTAGTTCCGAAGGCCTCGTAGCGATGAATCTTTTATGTGAAAACGGTTTTTCAATCGGACCAATAGTTTGAGCTACAAAAAGTTTCAAAATATGAAGAATCTTTGCTGACATCAACTGCTTTGTCTTTTAGTTTGCATGCATGCATAGAATTATTAATGAAGGCTGGCTGCATGGGTTTCCTTCAGCACCACGCACGAGATAAGCTAGCTAGTAAGCTCACAACATTTGTGATCGTCTGCACCTGTTGCTTAATGTCCGACTGGGTGGACGTTAGTCGCGTCCTTCTCAATATTCAATACGACCTATATACCCCCCCCCCTCTCTCTCTCTCTAGCTATGGCGTGGTGACCATGTGCTGCGGCGGACGACAATGCCGTCGCGTTGATGTGACACTTATTGGAAGATCCCACATTTCCTTAGATATTGGCATAGTTCAGCTGGGATTTTGGGACGTCCCAATATTTTTGTGGGAAAGTAAGTCTACTGGATCATGTTTTCTGGCCTAACTCTTCCAATGCTACTCCCTCCGTCCTATAATATAAGAGCATTTTTTACACTATGAAGGAAAGGAAGTCTCTTGAAATGCTCTAATCCCCATTGTGTTGCGCATATTGTTGCTGCTAGCCTGCTACTACTTATATGCAAATCAAGATAACATCTCGCCAACTGATGACTCCTGCCCTTCCTTGCTGCACTTCCTGATTGTTAGCAAACGTCCACCAACTCACCGCTCGGTGTGGATGTGAAAGGATGGATGGTGTGGTTCGTGCGCCTTGGGTGGAGCCAGGTAGCCCGTTAAGGTGCACTCTCATGCTCAACCGACTGATAGATGGATGTGATAACTGATAACCAGAAGCATGACGTTCCCTTCTTCAGCAACCATAGAAACTGAGGTTGGTCATAGTGGGAGTAACTTAAGTTAGTAGCATAGCGCACTTCAAGATTTTTTTGCTTATCTGGCAAGAAGTTAGTCTACCCACAGTGGGAGTAACATAGGTGGTAACATCACACATCTTTAGGCAAAACAGATGATGTGGCGAGTAATTAATTAGGAAATAAGGGCATGTGGTAACATAGCTAGTTACTGTAACATCATACATACTAAGACAAAATGAGACTACAACCTAATAAATGAAGTGTGCATAACACCACACATAGGTTACTCCCTACTAGAGAGGTAGTAACATAAACTAGTAACATATGCATGTTAATAGTCTAAGTTACTACCCATTATGACTAGTCTTAATGAGATGTGGTAACATGATATGTTACTGTAACATAGCGCTTTCGAAGACAAGATGAGTCTACAAGCTAATTAATAAAGCCATTTATAGCACTAATATTATGTTACTTTGTACTATAAAGATAATAACTTAGACTAGTATCATATGCATGACATTAGTACAAGTTACTCTCCACTGTGACTAGCCTGACTTTGATTGGAAGGCGTGCAACATACCCACCCTTCCCCACATGGACTAAGCTGTGTTGCAACATGTGGCAACACAAGATGCAACGCACCCCTCCCCACATGGAGATAGTTGAGCGTTGCAATATGGTGCAAAAAGTGACATCTATGTGCGGGGCATTGGAGCCCTTTTTTTGAAGTTCCAAAAACAGGTTTTTACGGCTTGAAGAATTCTAAATTTGTATCTACATGCACATATAGCAGTGCAGTATAACGGGCCAAAATTTCACCAATATACGTGCTAGCATGTGAGAGATAAAAAAGGACAAATTTTATGCAATTTCGGGGCTTGTTTTTTGTTGATTGGGCCAACATTTTGTCTTTTTTGCGCAGCATACAATACAGTGTATTATTGAATGAAATTTCAGAGTTGCTTAGACCACATCCATGCGTATTCATGTGAAAAAATCAAGAAAAATCAAAAAAAATTAAGCACTTATTTTTGGGTGGTAAAAAAAACAGGCTCCAATGCCCCCATGGTCCAAGAGTCTGCTTTAGCGTTGTGTACCCCTTTCTATAACCACGTGGACAGAGTTGAGTGTTGCAATGGGGCTTGTTGCGGTGGCACGGGGTGCTGCCTCAGCCCAAATCATGTGCTTGATCCGCGTAGTGCGGATCATATTCCTTATTCCTTTCATGACTATTTTTGAAACATTTAAAATATTTATTAAGAGGTAATTGCACCGGTGATACTTGAACTTGAAAAATACGTTGAACTTATTCTAAAACTTGGCTAGCGCGTGTAAATACGGTGCTAAACACATCTATAGACATATAATGTGCCGACATGGCATCATATTTGGCTGATGTGGCATGGGGTCCACACTTGTGCCGACGAAATATGTTACTTCAATGCAATATGTATCTATGAGTACTGGGTCCCGCCTGTCACGCGCTGACCACTACAGCAAAGAGGCTTCCATGCCAACGGTGATCCCTCTTACTTTATCTATGATAGACTGGCTTTTTGTGTTTAAATGGGCTGCATCCAGTGCTCATTCAGTACAGATTAACTTAAAAATTTATCAAAAATCTGTAAATTATAATCATAATAGTGATACTTAGATTCAAATATTTGAGTGTCATTAATAATTACCTCATGATATACAAATGTTTGTGTGTTATTAATAACTACCTCGTGGTATAAAAATATCAGTGTGCACGTATTGTTTAAAAAATATTAAAAACCAGGCCCCATGCCATGTTGTAGGTGATAAATATTTGTGGTACATAAATAATAACCTCATGGTACAGAAATATTTGTGTGGACACACAATAAATATAGAGGTATCTAATAAAATAACTTACTAAAAAATGTCTCTGTAATTTTTAGAAATATTCACTTACTACTTAGAAAATACTAATTTTAAATATAAGCCATAATTGTTTAAAAATGTTTAGTAAATACAAACTTCTAAAATATACAATCGTGGATTATTTATGAATGGTCATTAAATACATTTTTAAATGTTTAGTGAATACAAACCATACACGGCGTAATTATTAAAAACACATGAATATTTGAACCTAAAATTTATTATTATGATTAGAATTTACAGACCTTTTCATTTCTTAAAAAAAAGTTAATATGTGCTAAATGGGCCAGGGGATACACCCCATTTAAGCACCACAAGCATTTTTATTTACTATTCATTATTAGTGGAAAAAGTTGTCATAAAAGTGTGTTTGGTGTATTGCTCCGCGCATGTTTTCTTCAAGTTGCATGTAGTAGGCTCAACGCTTGTTTGTTGGGCACTATTTTTAATTCTAATTTTCCCTTTGTTCTAACATACCTGACCCATTAGCCATAGACACACATATATATAGTACTCCCTTCGTTCCTAAATATTTGTCTTTTTAGATATTTCAAATAAACTAGCACATACGGATGTCTATAGACATGTTTTAGTGTGTAGATTTACTCATTTTACTCCGTATGTAGTCACTTGTTAAAATCACTAGAATGACAAATATTTAGAAACGGAGGGAGTATTATCTAATAATGTTTCGCCATACAAATGGCCCCATACCATGTCAGCAAATACAGGGCCACATCCGCACACTATCAGCACACTATATGTGTACAGATGAGATTAGCGTCATATTTGCACGCGCCAGCCAAGTTTTAAAACCAGTTCGGCGTAACTTTCAACTTCAGGCACTAAAGTAAATATCCCTAGTAAGTTCAGACTTGTGTATTTACCTCTTTTATAAATACCAATGTAGGAAAACATCCTACCCACCGACGACTTTCCTATATCCCTTTTATTTACCCTAATTATAAGAGCCACAAGTGTGGCACGAAGCAATAGTTCCAAACATCCCATCATCATCCATTTTGCCATATCAAACAGATGAAATCATCGAAATATTTTTGCTTTTTCGGATATCAAAATGTTTTATCTCTTAAACAAATATCTGATTAAAAAAATCTGTTTTCATCATTAAATTCATCTCGACGAGGTCTTCAAAACTAGATCCCATATTTATATGTTTCGACGACTTTTTTGACCAAAAGTTGCCATGATGTTTACACTGAAGTTGTTATAGAGTTTAAACTAAAGTTGCCATGATATGTTTCATCTACTTTTTCTTCTAGATTTAAAGCTTTCATTGTATTTTTTTTTTTTTTGCAAAAAAAGAAGCTATCATTGTATTTTCAACTACTTTTGATGGAAATTTTATTAATTGACCATGGAAATTTTTAGTAATTAACCACAGTAAATTTAATTTACGGATCATGGCAAATTTAGTTTATAGATCATGTGAATTTTAGTTTGTTGACCATGAAAATTATTACCATGGCAATTTTTAGCGCATGTATCATGGAAAATTTAAATAATTCACCGTGGCAATTTAGTTTATTGTTCATGGAAAATTTGAGTCATTGATCATGCATTTTTAAAGTAATTGATGACTGCTTTTTTTTAATTATGAACCATGTCAAAATTATTACATGGATCATGGCAAATTTTAGTAATTCACCATGGCAAGTTTAGTTTTATCTCTTAAAAGTCGTTGAAACATATCGATATGGAATCTAGTTTCGAAGATCTCGTCACGATGGATTTAATGATAAAAACGGGTTTTCGATCGGATTTTTCATTTACGAGATAAAATATCTTAAAATGGAAACAGAAAAAAATCTTGCTGACATGATCAATTTCGTCATTTGTGGATGCATGCGGTGACGTGACGAGATTGCGTGAATTGGTGTGATGGAGGCGCTTGGGCCAGGTTACTTTGTTCTACACTTATAGTAGGGTCCTTTATTTATGTGATATCACACTAAAATGTTCAACACGCTTTTCCTACATCTTTCTCATATGTAATAAATGCATCAATATATATACAACTATTCCCCCCCAAAAAAGATATATATACAGCTAACCATGCACCATTTGCAATAGGATTGAGCCAAGGAAACCACCACGATGACATTCCCAGTACCACTAGCCACACTGCAAGTTGCCACGCTAATCCTCGTTGTCTCGTGCTCACTACTGCTGCTATTGCGTACCCAAACCAAGAAGCATCCCGCCGACCAACGACTCCCACCCTCGCCGCCACGCTTGCCCATCGTCGGCAACCTCCACCAACTCGGCGCGCTCCCACACCGCACCCTGCACGCGCTCTCCGTGGCGCACGGACCGGTCATGCTGCTCCACCTCGGCCGCGTGCCAACCCTGGTCGTCTCCTCCGCCGACGCGGCGAGAGAGGTGCTGCAGCTGGAGGACCATGCCTTCGCCAACCGGCCGTCGCTCGCCATCCCGAGACGTCTCCTCTACGGCTACACCGACATCGCCTTCGCGCCCCATGGCACCTACTGGTGCAGCGCGCGCAAGCTAGCCGTGCTCCACCTTCTGAGCCCCGGCAGGGTGCGCGCCTACCGCGGCGTGCGCGAGGAGGAGGTGGCGAAGCTGGTCCGGAGGGTGGAGGAGGAACGAGCGCACGGCGCCAGCTGCGTGGTGCGGCTCAGCGAACTCCTCGGCGGCTTCGCCAAGGACGTGAACGGGCGGATCGTGCTCGGGGTGCGCGCCTCGGGCGCAGCCGGGTGGCGTGCCAAGGTGGACGCGCTGCTGGAGGAGGCCAACGCGCTGCTGGAGGAGGCCAACGCGCTGCTCGGGGCCTTCCACGTCGGCCACTACTTCCCGTGGCTGCCGTGGGTGGCCGCCGTGGACGGGACGGACGCCAAGGTGAGCAGGGCGTTCGAGAGGATCGATCGGATCCTCGAGGAGATCGTCGACGTTGCCGCGAGCGCCGGCGTGGGAGGTTGCGATTGCGAGGACGAGGCGTTCGTGCATGTGCTGCTGTCGCTTCACAGAGAATCGAGCGAGACAGGGTTTCGCTTGAGCAGGGACAACGTCAAGGCACTACTAGAGGTACAACTGCATGCATGCACAAGCTTTGACGTGACAAAACTCGTTAACCACGGAAAATCACAGTAAATTGGTGAATATCAGCTTCTTAGAGAAAGAAAACATACTGCTGATGCCGGAGGGCATGCAACTATATTTTTGAATAGGAAAAGTTGTCATGCGAATACTGAGCAATAATTAGCAAACTGGCGGAAAAGTTGCCATGCGAATATTGAGCCTATTTTAGGAAACTGATGAATCGTGCTACCTTGCAGACATTAAGCACTCAAACCATGTCATGTCATTCACAGTCTGGCGGCAAACATCCCATTCAATCATATCATTGTCATGATTAATGTAGTGGACCTGGGCACCATTTTGTTCTGGCATTGGTCCCAAAATGGTTCATGCCTTTACATTTCTCTTGATCAACACATTCTAAGAATCATGCTTGCATTCCAACATGCACGTAGGGATTTCGTTCTCTAGAGTGAATTGCAAAAAATCACCACATTGAAGCGTAGGGTTGCAGAAAAGACTCTTCTACGAATTTGTGCCAAAAAACACTGATTTTGGTCCTAATCATTTGCAAAAAACACTGATCGACCGTTTTATGCATTTTAACCTCGATTATGACATCTGGGGTCCTGGTATTTTTGCATAGTCACCCTTCATGTAAATTTGTATCTACATGCACATATAGCAGTGCAGTATAACGGGCCAAAATTTCACCAATATACGTGCTAGCATGTGAGAGATAAAAAAGGACAAATTTTATGCAATTTCGGGGCTTGTTTTTTGCTGATTGGGCCAACATTTTGTCTTTTTTGTCCAGCATACAATACAGTGTATTATTGAATGAAATTTCAGAGTTGCTTAGACCACACCCATGCGTATTCATGTGAAAAAATCAAGAAAAAACAAAAAATTTAAGCACTTATTTTTGGGTGGTAAAAAAAGCAGGCTCCAATGCCCCCATGGTCCAAGAGTCTGCTTTAGCGTTGTGTACCCCTTTCTATAACCACGTGGACAAAGTTGAGTGTTGCAATGGGGCTTGTTGCGGTGGCACGGGGTGCTGCCTCAGCCCAAATCATGTGCTTGATCCGCGTAGTGCGGATCATATTCCTTATTCCTTTCATGACTATTTTTGAAACATTTAAAATATTTATCAAGAGGTAATTGCACTGGTGATACTTGAACTTGAAAAATACGTTGAACTTATTCTAAAACTTGGCTAGCGCATCTAAATACGGTGCTAAACACATCTATAGACGTATAATGTGCCGACATGGCATCATATTTGGCTGATGTGGCATGGGGTCCACACTTGTACCGCCGAAATATGATTACATCAATGCAATATGTATCTATGAGTATTGGGTCCTGCTTGTCGCGCGCTGACCACTACAGCAAGGAGGCTTCCATGCCAACGGTTACCCCTCTTACTTTATCTATGATAGACTGACTTTTTGTGTTTAAATGGGCTGCATCCAGTGCTCATTCAGTACAGATTAACTTAAAAATTTATCAAAAATCTGTAAATTATAATCATAATAGTGATAGTTAGATTCAAATATTTGAGTGTCATTAATAATTACCTCATGATATACAAATGTTTGTGTGTTCTTAATAACTACCTCGTGGTATAAAAATATCAGTGTGCACGTATTGTTTAAAAAATATTAAAAACTAGGCCCCATGCCATGTTGTAGGTGATAAATATTTGTGGTACATAAATAATAACCTCATGGTACAGAAATATTTGTGTGGACACACAATAAATATAGAGGTATCTAATAAAATAACTTACTAAAAAAATGTCTCTGTAATTTTTAGAAATATTCACTTACTACTTAGAAAATACTAATTTTAAATATAAGCCATAAGTGTTTAAAAATGTTTAGTAAATACAAACTTCTAAAATATACAATCCTGGAATATTTATGAATGTTCGTTAAATACATTTTTGAATGTTTAGTGAATACAAACCATACACGACGTAATTATTAAAAACACAAGAATATTTGAACCTAAAATTTATTATTATGATTAGAATTTACAGACCTTTTCATTTCTTAAAAATAAGTTAATATGTGCTAAATGGGCCAGGGGATACACCCCATTTAAGCACCACAAGCCTTTTTATTTACTATTCATTATTAGTGGAAAAAGTTGTCATAAAAGTGTGTTTGGTGTATTGCTCCGCGCATGTTTTCTTCAAGCTGCATGTAGTAGGCTCAACGCTTGTTTATTGCATTGGGCACTATTTTTAATTCTAATTTTCCCTTTGTTCTAACATACGTGACCCATTAGCCATAGACACACATATATATGGTACTCCCTCCGTTCCTAAATATTTGTTTTTTTAGAGATTTCAAATAAACTACCACATACGGATGTCTATAGACATGTTTTAGAGTGTAGATTTACTCATTTTACTCCGTATGTAGCCACTTGTTAAAATCACTAGAATGACAAATATTTAGGAACGGAGGGAGTATTATCTAATAATGTTTCGCCATACAAATGGCCCCATACCATGTCAGCAAATACAGGGCCACATCCGCACACTATCAGCACACTATACGTGTACAGATGAGATTAGCATCGTATTTGCACGCGCCAACCAAGTTTTAGAACCAGTTCGGCGTAACTTTCAACTTCAGGCACTAAAGTAAATATCCCTAGTAAGTTCAGACTTGTGTATTTACCTCTTTTATAAATGCCAATGTAGGAAAACATCCTGCGCACCGACGACTTTCCTATATCCCTTTTATTTACCCTAATTATAGAGCCACAAGTGTGGCACGAAGCAATAGGTCCAAACATCCCATCATCATCTATTTTTCCATATCAAACAGATGAAATCATCGAAATATTTTTGCTTTTTCGGATATCAAAATGTTTTATCTCTTAAACAAATATCTGATTAAAAAAAATCTGTTTTCATCATTAAATTCATCTCGACGAGGTCTTCAAAACTAGATCCCATATTGATATGTTTCGACCACTTTTTTGACCAAAAATTGCCATGATGTTTACACTGAAGTTGTTATAGAGTTTAAACTAAAGTTGCCATGATATGTTTCATCTACTTTTTCTTCTAGATTTAAAGCTATCATTGTATTTTTTTTTGCAAAAAAAGAAGCTATCATTGTATTTTCAACTACTTTTGATGGAAATTTTATTAATTGACCATGGAAATTTTTAGTAATTAACCACCGTAAATTTAATTTATGGATCATGGCAAATTTAGTTTATAGATCATGTCAATTTAAGTTTGTTGACCATGAAAATTATTACCATGGCAATTTCTAGCGCATGTATCATGGAAAATTTAAGTAATTCACCGTGGCAATTTAGTTTATTGTTCATGGAAAATTTGAGTCATTGACCATGCATTTTAAAAGTAATTGATGACTGCTTTCTTTTTAATTATGAACCATGTCAAAATTATTACATGGATCATGGCAAATTTTAGTAATTCACCATGGCAAGTTTAGCTTTATCTCTTAAAAGTCGTTGAAACATATCGATATGGAATCTAGTTTCGAAGATCTCGTCACGACGGATTTAATAATAAAAACGGTTTTTCGATCGGATTTTTCATTTACGAGATAAAATATCTTAAAATGGAAACAGAAAAAAATCTTGCTGACATCATCAATTTCGTCATTTGTGGATGCATGCGGTGACGTGATGAGATTGCGTGAATTGGCGTGATGGGAGCGTTTGGGCCAGGTTACTTTGTTCTACACTTATAGTAGGGTCCTTTATTTATGTGATATCACACTAAAATGTTCGACACGCTTTTCCTACATCTTTCTCATATGTAATAAATGCATCAATATATATACAACTATTCCCCCCAAAAAAAGATATATATACAGCTAACCATGCACCATTTGCAATAGGATTGAGCCAAGGAAACCACCACGATGACATTCCCAGTACCACTAGCCACACTGCAAGTTGCCACTCTAATCCTCGTTGTCTCGTGCTCACTACTGCTGCTATTGCGTACCCAAACCAAGCAGCATCCCGCCGACCAACGACTCCCGCCCTCGCCGCCACCCTTGCCCATCGTCGGCAACCTCCACCAACTCGGCGCGCTCCCACACCGCGCCCTGCACGCGCTCGCCGTGGCGCACGGACCCGTCATGCTGCTCTACCTCGGCCGCGTGCCAACCCTGGTCGTCTCCTCCGCCGACGCGGCGAGAGAGGTGCTGCAGCTGGAGGACCATGCCTTCGCCAACCGGCCGTCGCTCGCCATCCCGAGACGTCTCCTCTACGGCTGCACCGACATCGCCTTCGCGCCCCGTGGCGCCTACTGGCGCAGCGTGCGCAAGCTCGCCGTGCTCCACCTCCTGAGCCCTGGCAGGGTGCGCTCCTACCGTGGCGTGCGCGAGGAGGAGGTGGCGAAGCTGGTCCGGAGGGTGGAGGAGGAACGAGCGCACGGCGGCGGCGTGGTGCGGCTCAGCGAGCTCCTGGGCGGCTTCGCCATGGACGTGAACGGGCGGATCGTGCTCGGGGTGCGCGCCTCGGGCGCAGCCGGGTGGCGCGCCAAGGTGGACGCGCTGCTGGAGGAGGCCAACGCGCTGCTCGGGGCGTTCCACGTCGGCGACTACTTCCCGTGGCTGGCGTGGGTGGCCGCCGTGGACGGGAGGATCGATCAGATCCTTGAGGAGATCGTCGACGTTGCCGCGAGGAGCACCGGCGTGGGAGGTTGCCATCGCGAGGACGAGGCGTTCGTGCATGTGCTGCTGTCGCTTCAGAGAGAATCGAGTGAGACAGGGTTTCGCTTGAGCAGGGACAACGTCAAGGCACTACTAGAGGTAAAACTGTATGCATGCATGCACAAGCTTCACGTGACAAAACTCGCCAGAAAATCCCGTAAATTGGTGAATATTTGCTTCTTAGAACACAGTAGCACACACGCTTTGTTGTGGAAATTGATGAATTGTGGTACCTTGCAGACATTAAGCACTGAAATCATGTCATGTTATTCACAGTTTGGCGGCAAACATCCCATTCAATCATATCATTGTCATGACTAATGTAGTGGTCCTGGGCACCATTTTGTTGTGGCATTGGAACAAAAATGGTCCATGCCATGACATTTCTCTTGATTAACACATTCTAGCTTGCATTCCAACATGCACGTACTGATTTCGGTTTTTTAACACTTAGATAAATTTGGACAGGATTTGTTCGGAGCAGGGACAGACTCGACCATCATCGTCCTTGAATGGGTCATGGCTGAGCTACTCCGCAACAAGCCAGTGATGCAAAAGCTACAACAAGAAATCAGGCGCCACTATACCAAGACTAGCCACTTATTAATGATTATTGAGCAGGACCTTCCGGTGATGAAGTACCTTAGGGCCGTTATCAAGGAGACGATGCGGTTACACCCGCCTGGGCCTCTTCTTGTTCCCCGTGAGTCTATGCAACATGCAAGGGTCCAAGACTACCACGTCCCTAGTGGGACTCGGGTCATTGTGAATGCATGGGCCGTCGAGAGAGACCCCGCGGCATGGGAACATGCCAGAGAATTCTGGCCGGAGCGGTTTATCAATAGCAAGGTGGACTTTCGCGGGCAACATTCCCAACTCATACTTTTCGGTGCAGGTAGGAGGATGTGCCCCGGGATAGGGTTCACAACCACTATCGTGGAGCTCACGCTTGCTAACCTTGTGGGGCACTTCGACTGGGCGGTTCCACCGTCGGTGGTGGTGGATATGGAAGAGGCGCCAGGAATCACGTCACGAAAGAGGGTGCCAATTTACACCGTGGCGACAGTGGCACTTCATGAGTAACCCAGGTTACATATGCACCCACGTTGTTGAATATGTTCAATTATATTTGTACCTGTAGATTACATGTTAGATTTGTGCTTGGAGTACAACACTATGAGTAACCCGCGGTAATAGGTTACATGCGTTATTGTTGTTGATACGTGAGTTGGTTATATGTTGAACCTTTTCTTTGACATATGTAATTACATGTTAGACTTGCGTGTGGGTAGGATGTTGTTGAGGTATCATATAAGTATGTTGTTGGAAATGTGTTGAATATGTGTGTACATGTGCAGATGTGCTGGCTATATGCTGGATTTTTTTTGTAGTGGTTACATGTTCGACTTGTGTGTGGGTAGGATGATAGAGTGTTGGATTAGGACACTTGTATCATAGATCTACGTACAATAAGGGGGGCACACTAGCCTAGAACACATAATTGCAGCACTCACAAGGGCAAGCTGTGGTTTGAACCAGCACCCTGTGTCACTAGTGTTGCAGTAATGAAAAGGAATATATACCAGTCATATCCAACAAATCTTTATGCATCATATCATCTCTACTATGATTGATCGGTCCTTACTTATCAATAGATCATTGTCGCATGTCCGAAAAATATATTTCTTGTTTAGGCATTGGGCATTGTAGTATCTGTAATGAAACTGATCTAGCCACACAAAGATCTAGCCGGGCAAAGTTGTCGTCGCCGAACACGATAAGATCTGCAAGACCGCGCAAATGGCTGGGCACAGACATATTCAAAGCTTTGCCGGGTCCAGATCTTTTGGTAGCTGCCATCGATCTTCATGGTCGGGTGGTGGCAGTGAAGAGAAGGGTCTCTAGGAGGAGGAGATCTGAGGGGAGAGAAGAGGAAGGCCATCGGACCGCTACCATCGCCGTCGGGTGCAGCGCTCAAGGGGGAAGTAGGGTCTCTAGGACGACGTCGCTCTTGATCCTTGGACAAAGAGCCTCCGAAGGTTGTGGGCTTTTACCAAGTGCCATCGCTTCTTAGTCCGTTCGTCGCGACTCGCGGGAGTGAGCGAGACAGGGATTTCCTACACTGCCTGTGGGGGCATGGAAATCTCAGTCGTGGAAGGGACGGCGAATGGGTCAGGGTCCCTCCCCTTCACTGGGCACCAAATGCGGCGGTACGCTCCCCTGGATCTTTTCGCCCTGGGTATTTCCTAGCCAGGGAAATGAGGAGGTCCCAGGAGGATCCCTGGTTAGAGCATCTCCAACAGGCGCCCAAAAAGAGCTCCGCACGCTAAAAGTTTGTTTTTTGGGCGCCGGACAGCTCCAGCAGAAGCTGTAGCGCTAAAAGTTTTTGCGTGCGCGCTGAAAAACGCTATCGCGCGCGCCATATTTGGGGCGCCGGATTGCGCGCGCTTCACAATTTGCACTGTCTGCTTTTTGGGCGCGCGTTTTTGGGCACCTGCTAAAGCAAAGTTGGTCCCGACGCTTTAAAAGTGCTACAATGGCGCGCTATAATGTTTATTGGGCGCGAAATTTTCGTGCGGCTGTTGGAGATGCTCTTACCAAATGAGCCCTAAGCGTAAAGGCTAATGTTGCGTTATGGGATTTGAGGGACGGTTGTGCCTCAGTTATTCTCGCATTATATATTTTTTGTGGAAACTTGGTTCTATAGTTTGTGTGCGTGCGTGCGTGCGTACGTGCGTGCGTGTGTGAATCCTCCAAATGAAAAGACACACGCCATCACAAGAAATGTTGAGAAGCAAACAACCGCATTCTCCTCTTGCAACGACACTGATGGTCCTTGCCTTGTGCCTATCTACGCCAATACAGTTTTTTAGGCAAAACTTGCTCCACTTTATCGATTAACGTTCATATGGATATAATTTACATCTGGGGTTGGAGAAGCCACACATGGCGCCCATCTGACAAGTCTAGAGTGAATTTTGTGAGGCTATGTGCCTCAAAATTTGTACTTCCACCTTTGAAGATGAAAGAGCGGGTTTCAAATTAGCCGCAATGAACTTAATCTGTTTTACATCGATGCCATGCATTCCGCATGTTCCATTATGAATATCCTCCACCACTCCTTTGCAATCCGAAGCCACCAAAATTTTGGAGATGTTGAGATCTAGAGCTACGCCACTGCAGTTGGTTCTAGTTAGCTTATTGGCCAACTGGGCCACAAGGAGCTTACGGTCCAACTGGGCCACAATATATAGATCTGTGATGAATTCTTGGCGGCTCTGATCTTGCCCGGTTGCTCTCTCAAGCTCTTCCCTTCCCCCTCCTTTCGGTCACACACAAAATCCATCCGTGAAATTTTCGCTATGTCGCCTTATTCAAGTTTTGGATCACTACAACAGGACATGGATTCAAATTGGTAACTTTCTTGCCAAAACAGACTCTTCCCACCTCCTATCCAAATAACACAATGGCACTCGGACTAAATTCAGTTAGGTACTAGTATAGTACAATACAACACACATTATGTACAGCAATTTTGTGAAATGGGATAACTGGCGCTCAGCTCTCGACCCAACCACACAACTAAGCCGGCACCACCACCACCTCGACACCTAATTTCGCCGCCACCTTCTCCGTAGGGTCACCATCCCCATCGTGCTCTATGGCATCTCTGGCATGCTGCTCCCTGTTTTCGCGTGAAAACTCGTGGGATCTTCATCCTCCTTACCTGTTCGACCACCACACGCAGGATGCTCGCCTTGTATGCAATCCAGCCGACAAGGCAAGCTCCGATCAACACGGGCAGGACGCACCCCACCTGGAATGCAAATCTTAGTATTAGACTATTAGTTCATTCTTCAGCTATTGCTTGATCAAACAAGGGGAACAACCATGGACCTTACCAAATGGAGAATCTTCTCTGTCTCCCATGGGCTTTCTGTTTTTCCAACAGAGTAGATAAATCGGTATATGGCGATGATTGTGTCGGCCAACATAATGAGTAGATCACGGAGCAAGTTTTTATGGCCTCCATCCTCGTTTATCTATGCCATGATTTAGCTAGTGTGAAAAAAATCAATATTTACTTCTTGCATTCTCATGTATATTATATATAGGCTGTCCCTTATCTTGCACTCATGTGCATATGCCTTCATTTATCTTATACCTTGCTGCGTACCAACAGGCCGGTCTCAAGAGAGACTATGCAAATGTAGATCATGTGTACTACAGAAGTATGCCAATTATGGTCCTTTGGGATTGAGAATGGACTTTTAGCACCCCGGGTGTAGGCACCCGGTTATCACCCCGTCCGTGCAGACAACATCTGCTCGAGATCTGGACCAGGCCCTTGTGCACTAGTGTCATTAGCAGGTGCTGACTGCACCTAGGAATTGACCTGCGCTTTCTCTGTTGTCCAGTTGTCCACATGCAAAGTACTGACCTGTCATCTCTCTGCTGTCTACATGCAGGTACTGTAGTCACGTGAGTTTGCTGGGAACTGAACTGAAGCAGAGAGAGCGCCATTGTGCAAAGTTTTTTTAGAAGACTAAGAGAGAGAGAGTTGCAGCTGACCCAGAGAGAAGTATCGAGTGCATTGTATACTTTTCAGTGAGAGAACCTGGAACCTGCATGGGATAGTTACAACGAGAAAATATTTCTTTGAAACTCTGAAGATAGATAGCAGGTGACTGTATGAGAGAGAACTCGGCTTTTTCAGAGAAGTGATAGAAAGAATGTTTCTTTTACACAAGTGGGAAAGAGAAACTGTGTGAGAGAGAGGTTATTTTTAAGTGGGAAAGAGAAACTGTGTGAGATAGAGGTTATTTTCGGTAAAAAATATGTGAGAGAGGAAGCTTGGCTCGTGCATGCGCTGAGGTGCATGTCTGCATGCGAGACAGCTTTTAACAGTGAGAGACATGGCATGGGGTAAGGAGAAGTGACTTGTCTTGTCAGTCAATAGTAACCAGCCTGTACCGCTGCACCTCTATTAAAATGATCAAATGGCTGGACAGACATGCTTACGCTGCAAATCCTCTGTGGCTTGTCAGAACAGTGTACGAATCTTGGCGAGGCTCAACGCACATGATAACCGAGGGTCGGGACTCCCGGGTGCTACCACGCTTTTTCGTTTGGGATTACCATCCCGCGACAAAGCAATGACGCTCCAGCGGCCACAAATATTTCCTTACCCACGATCTGTAAAATTTGAGTACAATTTTGATCCATGTGCCATGTGGTAAAGAAGATTGAGTATAGTTTTTGGCACGGAAATTAAAGAACGCACGTGGAGGAAAAATTTCATAAGTTTTGGGCGAGATTTCACCTGACTAATTGACATGAGAAAATAGAGGAGCTTGTCTGATATAAGGAAATGTAATCAAATTCTAAAAAAATATCCAAATGAGTGGTGCAACACAATACACCTTATATTTCAAAAATTTTTCTCAAAAATTTATACACCTTATATCAAGGAACGGAGGGAGTATACGTCCTTCGTCAAGATCCATGCAACAGGATCGCTCGGCAGGAGAGGCACGTTCCCCAAATAACATTCTCATTTTATACTACGCTCTCCCCAGTCAACCTAGCTCCCGCGACGCTAGCAGCGACTCCAACACCGCCGCCGCCGCCGCCGCGGCTGCGGCTGCGGCTGCGGCTTAGCTCGCCCCCCGTCCTCCTCTATTGACCATGGCCTCCTCTCCCACCGCCAATCACCCCCCCTCCCCCGATCCCTCCCCAG